AAGAATGAGACAGTTGATTCGTACAGCAGACCCTGCGTATGGAACATTTCTACAATGTGAAGGATAAGCTTGGAAAAACGTTGAGAAGACCACAGGAAATAACTGAGAAATGGCGAACGTACTTCGAAGAAATGTGGTCTACTGCCAGCATTGGCATAGCCATCCCACCAGCTGACCCTGTAAAAGGACCAGTACCACGCATAACAGCAGAGGAAGTATGGCTTGCTATAGCCTTCATCAGGTCATCAAAGCTAAGAGCATGCCCCGTGACTGGTCAAAGAGCAGATTCCGATATGGAAAAATAAAGGCGATATCGCAGATTGTTCAACGTATCGGCCAATCCGGCTGATGTGCCACACTCTGAAAATCTTCGAAAAAGTACTTGATTGACGACTTCGAGCGATCATAGAGTCGCCATCCAATCAGTGCGGATTTGTAAAGGGTGCCGGTACTGCTGATGCCATCCATAGTGTGTGGATAGTGATGGAGAAGTATAGAGAAAAACGAAAAAAGCTGCACGCGGCTTTCCTAGATATGGAGAAAGCTTTCGGCAAGGTACCTCATAATGTCATATGGTGGGCACTGCGCAAGCACATAGTTCCAGAACTATACATTCAATGGATAAATGATCTATCACGGAGCCACGAGCCATGTGCAAACTGCGGCAGGACAGTCAAAACCATTCCGCATAAAGACTGGCGTGCATCAGGGATTGTTGCTCTCTCCTCTATTCTACATCACAGTTATGGATGCAGTGACGGAAGGTCTCAAGCGACAGCCTCCATGGGCTCCCCTGTATGCAGACGATGTGGTGTGGTGTTGATGGCAGAAAACAGAAAAGAACTTGAAGAAGAAATACAGAGATGGAAGGACCAAGTAGTCGTACAGCTCAAAGCTCAACACAAAGAAGACAGAATATGTGGAAGTTGGAGGTCAAACTTCAGAAACCATATACATAGTTGAGAAGCCAATCAAGAAAGTGAGTACATTCAAGTACTAGGAAGTTGCATCTCTGGCGAAGGTGGTGTTCAAGAGAAATATCTGCCAGGACAAACGCATCCTGGATACAATGGAGAACCTTTACAGGAGTTCTATGCGTGAATGTCAGTGCAACTCAGATCCCAAATATACCGTACTGTGATCCGTCCCACAGCGCTATATGGCTGCGAATGTTG